GATGCGGAGGTCTCATGTTTTAAGGACTTACAAATTCATGGAGTACATATCCTTCTCTGATTGTTAGAAAAAAAATCATTAGGAATAGATCCACCTAGTTTCTAGGCCAGTGGTGGCGAACCTGTGGCACGGGTGCCAGAGGCAGCACTCAGAGTCTTCTCTGTGGGCATGCACGCCGTCGCCCCAGTCCTAGGCCTTCAGCTGGGTTTTATAAAACCTTTTCACTTTAGGCCTCCGCTGCCATGTGCAAAAAAAAAAAAAAAAGTTTAATCAGTCAATTTCAACTTCTCGCGGGGAAAAAAAAGATCTTGCAAAGTTGGAATTGATTGATTGAACTTTTTAGTCCCACCCAGTCTGCCATTACCACAGCAGCCACACCCACCCAATGGGCCACACCCAGCCAATGGGCCACACCCACCCAGCACTCGACGATGCATAAGTGGGTTTTGGGTTGCAGTTTGGGCACTCAGTCTCTAAAAGGTTCGCCATCACTGTTCTAGGCAATTTAACTCTTGATAACAGCTATGGGGAACATCTAACTCAGTGGTTCTCAATCTAAGCAACTTTAAGATGTCTTGCTGGGGAATTCTGGGAGTTGAAGTCCAGACATCTTAAAGATGCCTAGTTGAGAAACACTGATCTAATTACTCGCCAATTCGGTGAGATTGCTACCCTTTGATCCCAAATTACTCCTTTATGATTTGATCAGAAGGTCCGCCAGTTCTGTCATCCTATCTGTCTTCTGCTTCCTTTGTAGCTTCCGTATCCACCAATACATTCCCATCAGCCATTTCAGGCACGCTCTTCGCAGTCTCCCTGCCAAGTACCGACCTGACTCCCGTCTGGAATACCATCAGCTCATTGGCATTTATGGGACCCACTTCATCAGTCATCTGCATTTGGGGGGCCGCGTGAGGGATGTGACAGCCGTGCGGGTCTGCGAGACAGCGTTGGATGGTGTGTCTGTTGACGAAGTTAAAGACTGTTTAAGCCTCGAGGCCTCAGCCAACATTGGGGGTGGCAAAGGGAGCCTCAGCGCAGCCTACAAAGCATGTGAAGAGCTGAAGAAGAAGAAGAGTTTCAAAGGAAGCTTCCACAACACCTACAATGAGAGACACACGGAGGTGGTGGGAGGGGAACAAAACACCGACTTGCTTTTTTCAAATGAACAAAACCCTGAAGGCTATAAGCAGTGGTTGGAAAGCCTCAGATCTATGCCCGAGCTCCTTTCTTACTCCCTGAAGCCCCTCCATAGTTTGCTGCCTAAGGGTGACCCAAAGCGGAACAGTTTGCAGCAGGCGGTGAGCGAGTACATCAGAGAAAGGATCCTTTGGAGGAACTGCACCCAGCCTTGTCCTCCTGGCTCCCAACGCAGCCTCCGGGATCCCTGCTCCTGCACGTGTCCCAGTGACGGCACCACTAACACCATGTGCTGCTCCCGGGAGCGAGGCCAGAGCAAACTAACGGTGACGATTCGACGTGCCTACGGTCTCTGGGGAGATGATACCACAAGAACAGATGCTTACGTCAAGGTGTTGTTCCAGAGCATTCAGAGCCGGACATCCACTGTGTGGAATAATGACAACCCCGTATGGATGACCCACTTGGATCTGGGGAGGGTCCAGATCTTGGGAGAAACCAGCAAGCTCCGAATACAAGTCTGGGATGAAGACAACCGTTATGATGATGATCTTCTGGGCACGTGTGAACGAACTCTCAGGTCTGGGAAATCTGAGACCGAGACGTGTTACCTTGACCATGGACGCCTTGAATTTCAGTATCATTTGAAATGTGGCCCCTTCTTAGGGGGGCCCTACTGCTTGGATTATGCCCCTCAGCAGCCACACAGGGCTGCTATGTTGCAACGTGGAGCAAAGTGAAACCCATGATAGAAACAGGCAGGATAAAAGACTACAGATAGTCCTCCATTTATGACTACAACTGAGCCTGGTTGTTAAGTGAGTTTTGCTCCAGTTGTGACCCTTTTTTTGGTCACAATTGTTAAGGGAATCACTGCAGTTGTTCAATGAATCATGGGGTCATTAAGCGAATCTGGATTTCCCCCCCCCCAGACGTTGCTTGTCAGAAGCCGGCTGGGAAAGTTACAAATGATCCCAGGACGCTGCAACTGTCGTAAATACATGTGACTATGTGGATGCTGCAATGGTCATATGTGTGAAAAATGGTCATAAGTCATTTTTTCAGTGCCATTGTAATTTCGGTCACTAAACGAATGGTTATAAGTCGAGGACTACCCGTATTCATGCTACAGCTTATTTTTAAAGTGTGCCCTGGGTTTCTTCTAATAAGTTCTTGTTTAATGTACTGAGGATCAGTACTTCTCAATCTTACCAACTTTAAGACGTGTGGGACTTCAATTCCCTATATGCTGGCTGAGGAATTCTGGGAATTGAAGTCCACACATCTCGAAGTTGCCAAGGTAGAGGTACAACTACTGTGGATCTACAATAGAAAAGCTAAAACAGGGAACACAAAATGGAACAGGTTGCTTATGTACCAAGCAAAACGAATCCTAGGTGCACTATAGAATGCTTTTTCACATATAGAAATGGAAATCATTTTTGTTGTGGCCGCAGTCAAATCAGCCTGCAACATTAGAATTATGTAATGTTTGGAAAAGGTGCTTCTAAGCGAGCGCAACACTGATCTGCAGCCTGTGACGAAAGGTACATGATTGCTAGGAATGCCTTTTCAAATCTCACCTTGATCATTGCCTAGCCTTTCCCAATATTCCTTTTCATTGTCCTTCTGTTTGTTTTCCTAGCTGTATTTTTATAAAATCATATTTGGAAAAACCAAATTTTCCAGAAAAAGCTTGATATGAAATAAACTGTCACTCCCCAAATAAGCCATGTACCACACAAATACATCATACAATCTAATAGTGTATTTTGAGCACCACGTCAACAACAGTTAACAACTAATTTACCTCTATTAACAATGGCATTCCACTGTTCTTTGGGTACCAGGCATTCAAATTTCACATCTATTGTCTCCCTATAATCTCAGACATCTAATTTTGTAACTAGCTCTTAGAGGCATATTTGATATCTTATTGATACGGAGAATATGCATAGGCTCCACTTAATGTTAAGAGGTATTTTTACTGCTTTCTTGTGCTTTGGCCCAAATGAAATACTGCTTGGGATTGACAGTCCTCAAACAACAGTAATCTGTAACTTGATCCAATTAATTGATCTAGAAAATATACTCTCCCCAGATTTGCAGCCAAAATATTGCCTTGCTCATTTCATGCTTTAAATCCTCCCCTGATGTTAATTTAGCTGCATGTTCATAAAGATGAGTTTGTAGTTGTATTCTAAAGTTCATATTTGAACTTTCCTAGGTAACTTGCACCCTTGCGCTCTACACTTTTTAAAGAATGGAAAACGCATTGAATCCATGAAAAGTACATTTCAACAGGCAAAACAACAGTCCTAGACTGATTTTAAAAGTGCGCTTTAAGTCAGAAACTTAAATGTGGAAAATTAAAATAACCCCAAAAAACATTTGTAGCTTTTGCAATTAAAAAAAAAAGAGCAAGCGAAATCATTTTCCCAAGGAAAACTCATTAAATCCCTGCAAATAAATTTTAAGAATCTTCAAAAATACTGTATCAAGAATACATTGCGCAATATGTATTTTTAGAGCTTTAAATACAGCCAAGAGGAAAAAAGAAAGTCTAGAGATTACCTTGAATCAAATCTTTGACCCCTTTTTGGCACAATTTGAAAAAGACGGGAAACAAGGGGGTATAGATGGGAGTATGAATGAATTTGAAATAGAATTATGCAAAAATGAGTAACATGTGATTGCGAGAATGGATATAAATTGCTGTTAAATTACAACGCGGATGCTGAACAAGCTAAAGAATGTAATACTACATAGATGCTAAATTCTTGGCATGGTATCGGCATGGTATTTTGGGGAGAAATGTGGGTAAAATATATTTACTTTGCAATAATTTAAGAGGAAAATGTTGCAAAATGATGCACAGATGGCATTTGACATTAATACCAAAGTTAATACCAAAATGTGTAAGAACATTTTAAGTAAATGTTGGAAATGCAGAAAAAAGGATGGAAACTATGATCGTATATGGTGGACTTGTGAAGACACCACAAGAATTTGGTTGGTGATTCACAGAATATTGATGGAAATTATAGGAATCCCTTTTCAGATGAAACCAGAACTGTACTTATTAGTCTATGGAAGAACTGAGTAAAAAGCAGAGTGCCTTATTGTTGTATAAGATCACCGTGACAAGGTTATTATTTGTGTAGAAATGGAAAAAACAAAAAAGTCCCAAATATTGAATATTGGATATTTAAAGTTATGGCCTTAGCAGAGATGGCAAAACTGGTACATCCAATAAGAGAGAAATTTACAGAAGATTTTATTAAAGACCGGAGGATGTTTAAGGGTTATATTTCAAAATTAGAGAAAAATAGCTTGATGATAATGGGTTTATAGATAAATAAGGGGAGAATACAGAAAATGTAAATGGTGATTTAAAAAGTATGAAAGAATAAGAAATGGCTAATGGATCCATGAGGACAGTGAAGTGTGGAGTTAGAATGTATATTTTTAAGTTGCATATTTAGTTTTGTATTTGCAGGTTTAAGTTTCTGTATTATGTTCTGTATTGTTTTTAATGTTTATTTTTATGTGTAGAATTTTAATAAAGTTTTTTAAAAATCCTTGCACCTTTTTTGATTCCTCAGTTTTGCTTCAGCAGAGTGCACTCAATACAGAAGTATAGTATAGGCTAGGTTTAATCTAGGTCACTAGTGGTCTTAAACATCCATTTCTTGTCTTTTTACACACATTTAGGTGTGGTCCCAATAACACTTGCAAAAGCTTTTACCCAATTGCCATTTTTAATGTGACAGGAATATGAGAATTGCTAAATAACCAGAAACTTCATTTAATTTTGTATTGTAATTGACTTAATTTTAACAAACGTTAATTGCAATAATCAAATTTATTTTTCCAGCTTCACCCATTACTTTTAAAATCATGGCTACACACACACACACACACACACACACACAGAGGATGGAAGTGATTATGCAAAATAAGAACATGAAAAGATGGGTATCGGATCATTCGGTTTTGCAAATGGAGAAGGAAAAGTGGTAGCAATCCGTGTTTCACATATGATAATTTAACATTAATTCTGCCAGACTGAGCGTGGGGGAGAAATGAAACCTCTTTAACATTTATCAGCGCTTACTCAACGTTTCCGGCAAAATTAGCTTGGGAGGTGGGAGTCAAGACAAATGACAAGATGGTGACTCTCCCAGAGATGGGCGTCTTTGTTTGACGTAAGTCTCCATTAATAAATCATACTAACCATTTCACACCACTGCTTGGAGGACAACAATCAAAACAAGCCCACAGATGCAGGACGATCACACACATCCAGGCATTTTTGAACACTAAAGCGCGGGGGGGGGGGACATTAAATTAAGAGTGAGGTAAAACTACAATTTATTTGAAATTACTGTTATCAGAGCCTCTGTTACAAGCATCAAACGGAAACCCAAAAGCCACATCACAGTTTGTTTACCTCCCTTTGTATTCTGTATGAGACCAAGTCAGGAAATGGAAAGAAATATGACACATCAGAGCTACTGGTGGCAAAATTGTGGTGTTTTTTTTCACCTAAAAGTGTTGAAGAAAACAGGTATTAAAACAAAACGTTTATTTCTCTTCACCAACCTAACCCAATTGCTACTCTTCTGCTACCGATCCTGCACAGGAAAAAGCTAGACAGTAATTTTAAGAGGCACTCGGTTTTTTTCCCACCAGGCATTTTGCAGGTTGGTGGATATTTGAGAATGGAATTCACCACGATGTAAAAAAAATGTTGAGACTCTAGAAAGAGTACAGAGAAGAGCAACAAAGATGATTAGGGGACTGGAGGCTAAAACATATAAGGAACGGCTGCTGGAATTGGGTATGTCTAGTTTAATGAAGAGAAGGACGAGGGGGGACATGATAGCAGTGTTCCAATATCTCAGGGGCTGCCCCAAAGAAGAGGGAGTCAAGCTATTCTCCAAGGCGCCTGAAGGCAGGACAAGAAGCAATGGATGGAAACTAACCAAAGAGAGAAGCAACCTAGAACTAAGGAGAAACTTCCTGACAGTTAGAACAATTAACCAGTGGAACAACCTGCCTCCAGAAGCGGTGAATGCTCCAACACTGGAAGTTTTTAAGAAGAGAGTGGATAGCCATCTGTCCGAAATGGTGTAGGGTTTCCTGCCTGAGCAGGGGGTTGGACTCGATGACCTCCAAGGTCCCTTCCAACTTTATTATTATTATTATTATTATTATTATTATTATTAATTATTATTATTATTATTATTATTATTATTATTATTATTATTATTATTATTATTATTATTATTATTATTATTATTATTATTATTATTAATATCCAGCAGGGGAAAGCTGGGATAAAAAAAATACGCACACTGATTCTCACAAGGTTGAATTACACTAAATTCCACAAGAGGAGGAATAAAAGAGTAAGAAGATAATTTGTGGGTGCAGTGGTGCACAATCCCAAAACTACTTTTGCATCTTTGGCCCACACAATCCTGTCATATTGCATTAGTCTGGTTTGGAGGCATCACTGCTTCAGACAGGAAGGCGGTGCAGAGAGTGGTGAAGATGGCAGAAAAGATTATTGGCAGTTCCCTCCCTTCCATCCAGGACATGGCACAGAAGTGTTGCTTGAGCAGGGTCCGCAGGATTGTCTGGGACGCTACACATCCTCTTCATACCCTGCTTTCCTTGTTACCTTCTGGGAGGAGGGGGCTTCGTGGTATCCGAAGCAGAACATCCAGATTCAGTTTTGTTCCATACAGTATCAACCTTGTAAACTCTCAACTTTCCTCTTTCCGCTATGTATTCAAGATGGACAATGACTAATATTTATATGAAAGGATGTAGGTATGTACATGTGTATGTATATATCATGTTTATGTGTTATGTATGTGTACTTTTGAGAACAGGCAACAGAATTTCATTTTTAATGTGTGCAAGTGTGCCCACAGTAAAAAATGACAGTACAGGTTATCTTAGTTGAGCCTAATGCTGGGAAAGATTGAGGGCAATAGAAGAAGGGGACGACAGAGAATGAGGTGGCTGGATGGAGTCCCTGAAGCAGCAGGCGTGAGCTTAAATGGACTCCAGAAGATGGTAGAGGACAGGAAGGCCTGGAGGAACGTCGTCCATGGGGTCGCAATGGGTCGGATACGACTTTGCAATTAACAACAACATGCATTTTGAGGTCCGGAAATATCCTAGGTCTAAAGTAATCTAAAAAAAAAATATCCATAACCTACTCACTCAGCATAACAATTTCTGTTCTCACCCACATTTGTATCATCACTGCACCATGGAAGTGGTGGGTCCATGTAAATTTAGGCCTCAGCCCTCAAGATTGCCCGTCCAATATAAAACACTGCATTCAGATGAAGTATGCTAGCAGCACCCTTGCACCCACTTACCTACTGGCTGTGGAAGCAAAGAATTTTGTTCTATAACGGGAGATCTCCAAACGTGGCAACTTTTAAGACATATGGACTTCAACTTCCAGAATTCCGCAGCCAGCCATGGAAGTTGAAGCCCACAAGTCTTAAAAGTTGCCAAGTTTGGACAGCCCCTGTTCTATAATGAGCTACTTCCCAAATCTTAAAACTTGGTGCTGGTTGCAAGCAAGAAGTCCTGTTTTCCCAGCCGCTAAATTCAAGTAATCATTCATCTTCGATAAGTGTCTTTTGATCCTCGACTGATGCTGTATATCCGGTAACTCTCAGATCCCAGTACATATCCTTGAAATCAATCTGCTGGTATCTAGTTCAGGTGATAAAAGTTTTGTTAAATTTGAGGGGTCCCTTTTATGCAGCAATTGTATCATGTTTTCTAGTTTATCTTGCTGAATTTGTACAAAGAAGACAAGGAGATAGTCTATTTGTAGACCCAGCTATGGCTTCTTGCAAGCTTCATCTAGCAATGGAGTCCAGCAACTCAGGTACGGAGGTTGCTTTGCAAAAGGGAGGCTTTTGATACACGACTAGCAAATCCCAAATGATCCATAGAACCAGACTTAAATGAACAGGGTCTCACATCCAGCAATCTGGAACAAAGCTTCCGAGAAACTTAAGAAACTTCCAGGTGACCATCCCCACATCGTTACTCGTGCCCCGACATCTTGGCTGATACCACATTCGATACCTCCACTGAGCACATTTCTGAAATGTCCTTTCCCACTTCTGGACCCAGCCAGGTCTTGGTAATACATGCCAGATTGGTCCTCCCATCTAGGATTAAATCATCTCCATTTCTAAATCGCAAATGAGGGAAACCTCATTATAGACCAGTGATGGCGAACCTTTTGGAGACTGAGTGCCCAAACTGCAACCCAAAACCCACCTATGTATCATCGGGTGCCAGGTGGGCGTGGCCCATTGGGTGGGTGTGGCCCATTGGGTGGGCGTGGCTGCGGTGGTAACGGCAGACTGGGTGGGACTAAAAAGTTCAATCAATCAATTCCAACTTTGCAAGATCTTTTTTTTTCTCGCCAAAGGTTGAAATTGATTGACTGATTGAACCTTTTTTTTTTTGCACACGGCGGCAGAGACCTAAAGTGAAATGGTTTTATAAAACCCAGCTGAAGGCCTAGGACTGGGGCGATGGCGTGTGTGCCCACAGAGAGGGCTCTGCGTGCCACCTGTGCCATAGGTTTGCCACCACTGTTATAGACCAGCGTTTAGTAGCAGTAGCCAGGGCCTCTGAAGATCTGATCGAGAAGAAGTGCCTCTCTTTAGGATTTAAAGAGACAAACTACTTTGTAACTGTTTTTAAAAGTGCTTTTATTTTTATATTACAAAATAATCTGTGTCAGTCTGCTTTCGAATACATTGAGACTTCAAGGCAATTGGGGGGGAAAGAAGCTTAATTCTCTGATAATTTCCCCCCCCCCAAATACAAAAGTACTAGATTTTTAGAAACAGGACCAGGAGGTCCTAATTTCCACTTATATCATGATTTCCCAACATAATTTAGCTAGACTTGCGTGGGGAAAGACAACAGGTGACTTGACCGTTACTCCTTGCTAGAATGTTTGAGGGACCTTGATTTAACCTGGTCCTCTGAACGTGATATTTAGGCCATCTGGATTCCAGATCTCTGCAAGCCCCATAAGGGCCAAAGTTCGTATAGTTCACTCGCAATCCTTTTAAAAGTTGGCACTGGGTTATTTATCAGGGCTAAAAGATCCAAGAGACAGAATGAAGTAATTGGTGGTCACGACCAAAAGTTGCGCGCACACGATTTCCCAAGGCACGTAGGTGGAGAAAAGTCACAGCAAAAGCTCTAAAGGTCATTGGAAAATAGCTTGGCAATCCCAATATTTCAGCCAAGAATGAACTAGGATGCGTTTGTCTGCCATCCCCTAACAAAATAGGTTGTGTTCTCTAAGACAAGGAGAAAAATCCAACAAACCAGCTCAGGATGAAGAGTAGATTTTTCCCCCTGCGTGGCTGAGCATAGGGTGGGAAGGATCAAGGATCTGCTCCAACCTCTGCAGAATAAATCTTTTATCTTCCTTTGCTCTCTGGTGAACATAGAACGTTTTGTGTGGGGAGGAGCCATTTTTTTAAAAAAGTGACAACGGCATGAACTGTGACAGGTTGAGGAAGGTGCTGGGAGAGAACTGGGTGGGGAGAAAGTGCCATGATGAGTAAAAGGAAAAGTAGGCTTGCTTCTGGAGTTGCTGTGTTGCGTCTTTACAAGAATAAACAACAACAACAACAAAAAAGGATTCTTTCTTTGAGGATACTTTCACGGAAGTGACTGATTACAGTTTCTAAAAGGATGAGTCAAGACTACAATATACATTGAGGAAAGGTCAAAACCAAAGGAGCAGAGACCGTCTTCTAGATTATGACTGTTATAGGCACCTGGACGTGGTTTTGAACGTAGGGGAGGTTTCTAGGCGTAGGCAGCATGTGCTTTCAGGACTGGAGGGGCTGGAGGGGCCCTACCGGTCATCTTTAGTGCAAAGGCCTCCCCAGTGATGGGGGGAACAATTCCAGGATAGAGATGCGGCAGAAATCCTAAAAAGAAGAGAAAAAAACAATTCCAGAGAGTCACTATTTCCATTCTGACCCCAACAGAAAAGCTCTTAATATAGGGGTGGGCAACGATGGCCCTTTTATAACCTATGGACTTAATAATAATAATAAAGTTGGAAGGGATCTTGGAGGTCAAGTCCAACCCTCCTGCTCAGGCAGGAAACCCTACACCATTTCGGACAAATGGCTGTCCAGTCTCTTCTTAAAAACTTCCAGTGTTGGAGCATTCACCTCTTCTGGAGGCAGGTTGTTCCACTGGTTAATTGTTCTCACTGTCAGGAAGTTTCTCCTTAGTTCTAGGTTGCTTCTCTCCTTGATTAGTTTCCACCCGTTGCTTCTTGTCCTGCCTTCAGGTGCTTTGGAAAATAGCTTGACTCCCTCTTCTTTGTGGCAGCCCCTGAGATAGTGGAACACTGCTATCATGTCCCCCCTCGTCCTTCTCTTCATTAAACTAGACATACCCAATTCCAGCAACCGTTCCTTATATGTTTTAGCCTCCAGTCCCCTAATCATCTTTGTTGCTCTCCTCTGCACTCTTTCTAGAGCAATGGTTCTCAACCTGTGGGTCGGGACCCCATTTGGGGTCGATCGACCATTTCATGGGGGTCGCCAAGCAAGGCTGTCCGCCATTTTTTTTGTCCGCCATTTTTCCCCCTTTTCCGGCGGGTGCCTTACCTCCCTTGGGCTGGGCCAGCTGGTGGTCGGCCTGCTCCGTCTCTGCCGCTTGCCAGCTACGCCTCGGCCAGCGCAGGGGGCGGAACCACGCATGTGCGGCGCTCCCGGGCAGGGAAAGTCCTCGACTTACGACCGGTTGGGTAGCCTCAACTTACGACCGGTTTAGTCCTCGACTTACGACCGGTTTAGTCCTCGACTTATGACCGGTTTAGTCCTCGACTTACGACCGGTTGGGGTCACGGCATTAAAAAGGTTGAGAACCACTGTTCTAGAGTCTCAGCATCTTTTTTACATCGTGGTGACCAAAACTGGATGCAGTATTCCAAGTGTGGCCTTACCAAGGCATTGTAAAGTGGTATTAACACTTCACGTGATCTTGATTCTATCCCTCTGTTAATGCAGCCCAGCACTGTGTTGGCTTTTTCGGCAGCTGCAGCACACTGCTGGCTCATATTTAAGTGATTGTCCACTAGGACTCTGAGAATTTCAATGTGGAATTCTGGGAGTTGGTCCACAGGTTGCAAAGGAGCCACAGCTGCCCACCCCTAGCCTTCTCAGGTGCCTAACTTGTACAATAAACCTTTCCAAGGTTTTCAGTTCCTTCCAGGAGACATGGGACACTAAGGAAGCATCTCTCTCTCTCTCTCTCTCTCTCTCTCTCTCTCTCTCCCTCCCCTCCTCTCTCTCCCCCTCACTCTCCCATCCTCTCGTTAAATGGTTACGGCCCTTTTCTTCTGCGCACGTTTATGTAATTTATCATTTGAAGATCATTTCATAAATTATAATATAAAGCACTTTTAGGGATGCATCTAGTCACTAGGTCTCTGTTCAAGCCTGCTCAGTGGGCCAACCAAGTTTAATCCAGCCGCATTTGGGGGTTTTCCATCTCTTTCTACGTACCGCCAGGCTTTGATCATGCAGCATGAAGGAAGACACCAGTGGGAAGTTCCTTCTAAAGTGTAACAGCCAGGATGATGATGAGAATAAGGATGAATGCTGTGATGGTCAAGCAGATGCCAATCATGAACTTCTTCTGCAGAGCCCCAAAACAGAGAGAGAAGGCAAAAAGAGGTGAAGAGATATAGATGGGGAAGCATCTCAGCTCCTGCTGTGCTGGATCCTTTCTCTGCTGGCTTCAGGGAATAGCAAAGGAACTATGAAAACTTCCTCACCCACAACGTACCGGCTCAAACGCACCTTCCATCTCCCTGAGATGTCACCGTGTGACACTAGCCATTTTGGACTGCGGGGATTCCAAATGTTCCCCGACCCACCCAAAATTGAAAGAAAAAACTCCCAGGAGAATTAGCCCTTGTTAAGATGCAAGCTGAAAGGTATTTCATTTTATGGAATGTGCGCACTTAATGCAGGTAATCCTCGACTTGTAACCGTTCTTTTAGTCACCGTTCGAAGTTAAAACTCCACTGGAAAAAAGTGACTTGTGATGGTTTTTCACACTTACAACCGCTGCAGCATCCCCATGGCCAGGGGTAGGCAACCCAAAACACTCAAAGAGCCACTTGGACCCATTTCCCACCGAAAACAAAACACTGGGAGCCGCAAAACCCTTTTGACATCTAAAATGATAACACTGCATATATCCTTTTTTTACCTTTATTTTGTGTGTGTGTGTGTGTGTGTGTGTGTATGTGTATATATGTGTGTGTATATACAGTTGCAAGAAAAAGTATGTGAACCCCTTGGGATAACGCGGAGTTTTACATGAATTGGTCATAAAATGTGCTCTGAACGTCATCTAAGTCACAACAATAGAAAAACACAGTCTGCTGAAAATAATAATACACAAACATTACATGTTGCCATGGTTTAATTGAACATAACATGTAAACATTCACAGAGCAGGGAGGAAAAAGTATGTGAGCCCCTAGCCTAATGACGTCTCCAAGAGCTAATTGGAGC